TTCTCCTATTAGTAGAGAGAGGTTGCAATTTCCACATTACTTAGTGAACTCCTTCTATACTTGCCCGTGGACGTAGCCAAATTGGGTGAACCACGTAAATTCTTGTGTGTCATTTCTCATTTTATCTTGTCTCTTACCTTTTGTCTTGTCGGGTTTGCATGTCAGCATCCTAACAGTGGTATCAGAGCCTTCTGGTTGGTGTTGTTAATACACAAAAGTTATTTGTGTATACAGTTACTATTCATGTTTATGCACTATTCACATATACGATACTATTTATCCATACAGTACTGTTCACATACGTTGCTGTTGGCATATATAAAAAGTCAGTGTGGTGATTAAATACAGTCTAGGAAGTTCTGTCTAAGGAGATTGGGTTTTAAACGGGACCATTTGTGACCCCTCCAATCTTTCCTGGGAACTTACTTAGTGAAGTATTATTCACACGATACTATTTCTCTATACGTTACAGATATATGAAATGGTGATAGCTGAATAGATCTTGGTGAATACAATGGCAGCAAAGTACAAGATTGAGAGGTTTAATGGGAGCAATTTCTCACTGTGGAAAATGAGAATCAAGGCAATCTTAAGGAAAGACAATTGCTTGGCAGCAATTGGGGATCGGCCCGCGGAGATCACTGATGATGCAAAATGGAATGAGATGGATGGCAATGCTATTGCTAACATACATTTAGCATTAGTCGATGAAGTATTATCAAGTATGGCGGAGAAGAAAACAGCTAAGGAGATATGAGAGACTCTAACAAAGCTATACGAGTCCAAGTCTTTGCACAATAAGATTTTCTTAAAGCGGAGACTTTATACCTTTCGAATGGCAGAAACCACGTCGGTGACTGACCACATCAACACAATAAGAACTCTATTTTCACAACTCACTACATTGGGTCAGCAAATAGAGGAAAATGAACGTCCAGAGCTTCTACTTCAAAGTCTTCCTGATTAGTATGATCAACTCATTATCAACTTGACAAATAATATCCTTTCAGATTATCTAGTCTTCGATAATGTTACAGTCGCTATCTTGGAAGAAGAAAATAGACGCAAAAACAAAGGAGACAGAAACAGTTCAAACCAAGCAGAGGCGTTGTTGGTGTCAAGAGGAAGATCAACGGAGCGTGGCTCTAGTGGGAGTCAAAGGCAGGGGAGGTCCAAATCAAGAAGTAAGAAGGCTGTGAAATGCTACAGCTGTGGCAAAAAGGGGCACTTCAAAAAGGATTGTTGGTTTAAAAAAGGTATAGAGAATACTGCAGAGTCATCAAAATCTCAAGGATGTGTTGCGAGCACCTTAGAAGATGGAGAGATTTTATATAGTGAAGCAGCAATAATCTCTACAGATAGAGAAGAGTTCACTGGAGTATGGCTAATGGATTCAGGAGAAACATGGCATATGACTCCTAATCGAGATTGGTTCCATACATATAAACCCATCTCTAGAGGCAAAGTGTTCATGGGTGATAATCATGCTTTAGAGATTGTTGGCATTGGCACCATCAAATTGAAGATGTATGATGGCTTAATTCGTACTATTTCAGAAGTGCGACATGTGAAAGACTTAAAGAAGAATCTTTTGTCTATAGGACAATTTGATAGTCTTGGTTGTAAGATCCGAACAGAAAATGGAATCATGAAAATCATCGAAGGAGCGCTGGTGGTTTTAAAGGAAAAAAGACAGTTGCAAATGTATTTGCATTAATGGGAGAAACACATCATGAGGCAGAAGCGTCAATCGCATCAACCAGTCCTGCAGAAAAGAAGATGATGATGTGGCATCAAAAACTAGGTCACATGTCAAAAAAAGGTTTAAAGGTTCTCTCTGATCAGAAGTTACTCCCTGGGCTTATAAAGGTTATTTTACCTTTTTGTGAGCACTGTGTTACAAGTAAACAGCACAGGTTGAAGTTTGGCACATCAACAACTAATAGCAAATGCATCTTAGACCTGATTCACTCTGATGTTTGGCAAGCACCGGTTGTATCCTTGGGAGGAGCAAGATATTTTGTATCATTCATAGATGACTTCTCCAGGAGATGTTGGGTGTATCCAATTAGAAGAAGGCAGATGTGCTTGCAGTCTTTAAAACTTTCAAAGTGCGGGTAGAACTTGAATCTGAAAAGAAGATCAAGTGTTTGAGGACTGACAATGGAGGAGAATATACCAGTGATGAATTTGATAACTTCTGTCAACATGAAGGTATCAAAAGGCAGTTCACAACGGCATACACTCCACAACAAAATGGAGTGGCAGAGCAGATGAACAGAACTCTATTAGAAAGAACAAAAGCAATGTTGAAGGCTGCAGGTCTAGGAAAGTCATTCTAGGCAGAAGCAGTCAATACCGCATGTTATGTGATAAATTGATCCCCATCAACCGCAATTGAGCTAAAGACACCGATGGAGATGTGGACTGGAAAACCAGCTGATTATTCTCGATTGTATATATTTGGAAGTCCTGTGTACGTGATGTACAATACATAAGAAGTTAGCAAACTGGATTCAAAATCTAGAAAATGTGTATTCTTGGGATATGTTGATGGAGTGAAGGGGTATCGCTTGTGGGATCCTACTGCCCACAAGGTAGTTATCAGCAAATATGTCATATTTGCTGAAGGTAAAATGCAAATAGAAGAACATAATAGTATTCTAAAGGAGACTACAGCAGTCCATGTGAAAAATACTCAGAATCATGCTTCTTCTGAAACTGTACCAGAGCATGAAGAGCAAGAACAAATAGAGTCTGAAACTCCTGAAGTTCGGCGGTCGACTCGTGAAAGAAGACCACCGGCTTGGCACTTAGAATATGTTACTGAAAGTAACATTGCATACTGTCTTCTAACAGAGGATGGAGAGCCATCAACTTTCCATGAGGCTATCAAAAACACAGATGTATCTATGTGGATGACAGCAATGCAAGAGGAGATTGAAGCTCTGCACAAGAATAATACTTGGGATCTTGTTCCACCACCACAAGGAATAAAGGCCATTGGCAACAAATGGGTTTACAAGATAAAACGTGATGACAATGATCAAGTGGAGCGATATCGTGCAAGATTGGTGGTGAAAGGATATGCTCAGAAAGAAGGAATAGACTTCAATGAGATATTTTCTCCGGTGGTACGACTTACGACAATCAGAGTAGTCTTGGCAATGTGTGCTATATTTGATCTTCACTTGGAGCAGTTAGACGTGAAAAGTGCATTTCTTCATGGAGAACTTGAAGAAGAAATTTATATGCTCCAACCAGAGGGTTTTGCTGAAACAAGCAAGGAGAACTTGGTTTGCAGGTTGAACAAATCTCTATACGGTCTCAAACAGGCGCCGAGGTGTTGGTACAAGAGATTTGATTCCTTCATAATTAGCTTTGGGTACAACAGACTCAGTTCAGATCATTGTACGTATTACAAAAGGTTTGAAGAAGATTTCATCATTTTGTTGTTGTACGTGGATGACATGTTGGTGATAGGCCCCAACAAAGATCGAGTCCAAGAATTGAAGGCATAGTTGGCTAGGGAGTTTGATATGAAGGACTTGGGACCAGCAAACAAGATTCTAGGGATGCAAATTTACCGAGACAGAAGTAAGAGGAAGATTTGGCTTTCTCAGAAGAATTATTTGAAGAAAATCTTGCGACGCTTCAACATGCAAGATTGTAAGCCAATTTCCACCCCACTTCCTATTAACTTCAAATTATCCTCAAGTATGTCTCCTACCAATGAAGTAGAGAGGATGGAGATGCCTCGAGTACCGTATGCATCAGCAGTGGGAAGTTTAATGTTTGCCATGATATATACAAGACTAGACATTGCACAAGCAGTGAGAGCAGTTAGTCGATACATGGCAAATCCTGGAAGAGAGCATTGGAATACTATTAAGAGGATCTTGAGATATATCAAGGGTACCTCAGATGCTGCATTATGTTATGGAGGATTAGAATTTACCATCAGAGGTTATGTTGATTCAGATTTTGTTGGTGACCTTGAGAAAAGAAAATCCACTACAAGCTATGTGTTCATAATTGCAGGAGGAGCTGTGAGCTGGGTTTCTAAACTTCAGACTGTTGTAGCATTGTCCACAACAGAAGCTGAGTACATGGCAACTACACAAGCTTGTAAAGAAGCAATATGGATGAAGAAACTTATGGAGGAGCTCGGGCACAAACAAGAGAATATTCTTTTGTATTGTGATAGTCAAAGTGCCTTGCATATTGCAAGGAATCCAGCGTTTCATTCAAGAACAAAATACATAGATGTTCAGTATCACTTTGTTCGCGAAGTGGTGGAAGATGGAAGTGTGGATTTTCAGAAGATTCACACAAAGAAAAACCCAGCAGATGCTTTGACGAAACCGGTTAACACTGATAAGTATATATGGTGCAGATCCTCTTACGGCCTAGCAGAAATGTAAGCAGCATGAAGATAGCAAGTATAGAAAGGATAGAAGAATCACAGATGATCAAGTGTGAAGAATTGATTAAATCATCAAAGTCTTCAAGTGGAAGAATGTGAAACCACCCTAACATTGTTGACAAAGTCAACAATGTTTTGTCAACAATGTTAGGCACCAATTTGTCAACAATGTTAGGCATAAATTTAGTGCCACCTACCTTACCTTTGTCTTTTGCATGGATGTTTGCCTATAAATAGGCAATGCATCCAAGCATTATAGACACACCTAAAGAGAGAAAATTGAGAGCAAGTAGAGAGAAAGAAGAGAGGGTGAAGAGAGAGTAATCCCACAAAATTGTGAGGTATATGTAAGATAGTAAGTGAGGTGTTTTCTCCTATTATTAGAGAGATTTTAATTATTCTCCTATTAGTAGAGAGAGGTTGTAATTTCCATATTACTTAGTGAACTCCTTCTATACTTGCCCGTGGACGTAGCCAAATTAGATGAATCACGTAAATTTTTATGTGTCATTTTTTATTTTATCTTGTCGCTTATTATTTATCTTGTTGGATTTGCATGCCAACATCCTAATATAAAATGCAAGAGCGGTACTATTAGGACAACAGCTCTCAACTAGTTCGTACAATATCACAAGCAGCCCATCTTGTTACTCAGAACCTGGCTGGTACTCGGTTTATTTTGTTTTTCACTCCCTTTTACCTTTCCTTTCCTGCTTCAAGTTCATTAGCCCCTGTTTAGTTTCCGTGAAAACGAAAGAAAACTTGGTTTGGCCGAAATGGGAACCTGTTTCTCAGTTATCTTTTCGTTTTCTTCATTCCGTCAGCTAGGGTTTTCGTTGGCACGTGTTTTTGCATCTTTGTTTTGAAAGCTGTTGCTAGTAAAGATTGCTGCTCACCATGTTTTTGATAGAATGACTTTTAGGAGTAAGGAGAGGGCTTCTCTGTTGCTCCTAGCTTCTTTTAACTACTGGGTTTCTTTTTCTTTTTTATCTCAAAACTGACTATTTGTTGTTTCAGTTGTTTGCTTGTGTTTGGCTGGTTGGCTTCTGGTAACCCCTTCACATTCCACTTTTTGCTTGCTTTTTTATTTCTTAATAGCATTGTATAGGATCTTGAGTCTAGGTATTTGACGCCGATTGTTTTACATGGAAATGGTCTCTTGTATGTGTATGTTATGGTGGCTTTAATTTTTGAAAAAACTATTTGCGAGCGACTTCTTTACTTTTATATGCTACATAGTTTTCGACAAAGATATTGTCCCATAAGTTTTGTGTATCTTTCAGCATCATCAGGCACAATGTCATACCTTGCCCAGTTGCAAGGTCTTCCACGTGCACTGCAAGATTAGTGTTAGGAAACAAAAGGTTCGCTTTTCAGTAGCACTGTAGGAAATGTGATATGAAGTTTGGTGGTGAATTTTTCTGGCCCGTATGTTTATAAGGGCCAGGTTACTTAGGGTGTTCTTTATATGGATACTTCATTGAGACCACGATTAATGTGTCCCAATTTTGCATTTGATGACATGTGCATATGATGAAAACCACAATCGTGATGGCAGAGCTGGAGTTTGAAATGTTTATGGTGTTGACGAGGTTAACTATGACGAGGTCCAAGTAGTTGGTTGGTGGTGAGTGGTGTCTCTTGGCTGCTTGTGGCTGTATTAGAGTTATAATCAAAGTACTGCTCGTTTGATGAGAAGATAGTTATGTCCAGATGCTCTGGATGGGAATAAACACGTTTAACATTCCGTACCTTTTGTGTTATTGCTCAAAATTGTATAACTTTAATAGATATAAGAATGCCTGGTCTGCCCGTTTTATTTTGGTACAGGTAATATGTTTGAATACTCTTTGTTCTTTCATTTGCAAGGAGATTGATGGGAAGACACTTTTATGTCTGTTGTGCCGGTTTCATTCCAGCTCCTTGTTTGATTTTTGAGAGGAAAGATGTTGGGCTGGTGGTGCATTAGTGTGAATCTTTGTGGGGAGATGAGTTGTCTGGTGGCTGACTGCTACAGTGCATGAGAAACTATTATGCTCCTGATTGGTTTTCATAGAAATACTCCTGCTTTTGAAAGTAGTCTCTCATCATCATAAATGCGTTATTATTCAAGGTGCTAAGAAAGGCAAAAATTCCATAATTCATGGCACCAAAAAATTGTGCTGGGTGATGCCGGAAGCACTTGGGAAAATTTGTATTCATAAACATTTAAGTTAGTCGCTGTCAAAAGCGAGTATTATTTGTTGACTTCTCATAGCATCAATTTCATGATTAAAATCAAGATCCTCATCACATGTATAATTTCCTAAACTGTACAACTAATTTTCCTTGTTTGTACGGATCTGTGCCATTTGTAGGTTATGGATCATCAGAAGGCAGGTGTCTCCTCTGCTCAGGAATTTATGGTAGAGCAGTTGTTGTATCTCCTTGTTCTTCACATTGTGTCCGCTATAATCATTCGCAGGCCCAGTTTGGAAAGATGAAATGTTCTTTCAGGGCTTCATCCATTGTGTGCAAATGCTCTGGTGGTCACAGGAGAAACCCAGACTTATCTAGGCAAAACAAACAGTTTTCACGTAACAGGAACAGGCAAAATGAAGAGACGAGCAGCTTTGAAAACCTTGATGAATCTGATTTGTTAACATCAAAGAACGGGTCACTACTCTCCTTATCCGGTACCCCAAAGTTCCAAGCCACTGCTGCCCCTGGGCCTAGAGAGGAGATTGTTGAGCTATTTAGGAAGGTACATGCTCACTGCGTGAAAGAGCTGCAGCCAAAGAAGTCAAAGTTTGAAGCTTCCCAAGGAAAAGGTAGAGAGAACGAAACTGTGGATTCCCTCCTTAAGCTACTTCGGAAACACTCAACTGAGCAAGGTAAGAAAAAAACCAGCACTATCAACAGTGGAAACTTCAATCTGGACCAGCCAGAGAATGGAGCATACAAGAAAGCTAAAGGCACAAGCTCCTTTAACTCAAGTAAGGAAGAAAGGAACGACGCCCTAGAGCCCAACACCTCTTTTACCAGGCCACCATCGAAATTCCAACGGAAATCTCCAGTACCTCAAGTGAAATTCCAGCCCATTTATTCAAGTGAGGATCTTGTTAATTCTACATGTCATTTAAATTTAAATGGTGAGAAAAGGAATCAGTTTGAGATACTCCCAGACACCACCTTGGAGCTTGAATTGGACCCCGAAATAGAGCCCGAGTTGGATTCAGAACAAGAGCCAGAGTCTGCTTTCCCTGGTAGTTCATTGTATCAGTGATACGGGGAAAAAAAGACAAAACAACAACACAAATTTAGATAAATTCCCTTTTCTTTTCATATAATTTTGTTTCCTTGACCTCTGTTTTTGACTTCATGCAAAGTAATATTTAGCTCTTCAAATCCCTCCATGATGCGTTCAACTAACAGAGATGAGGATGGTTTTTTTTTTTTTTTTTGGAAAGTGTTTTTAAAAATATATATTTTTGATATTTTTAAATTATTTTAATATTAAAAATAAATTTTAAAAAATAAAAAAGTATTACTTTAATATATTTTTAAATAAAAAATATTTTAAAAAACATTCTTAAACCCAATTTTTTTTATTACATGAAACTTGCTTTTCTTTTTTATTACGTGAAAACCTGCTTTATGAAGAAGCTATCGCTGCGAACAAACATTCTCCGATGGTCCCATAACATAAAATACAGTTTCCTTTATTATCAAACATGTGGCGTTAACGGAAAAGCTAGCGGAAAACAAACGCAGCCTTACTTGATCCCCCTAGTGTTGACTGTTAATTAACTATGACCCCAATCCTTCGTTGCGAAGTTTTCTCCCTCTCTATAATAACCATTTCCTTTGCTTCTTAATCATCCTTTTGTATAAACTCTCTTTTATTTTGTTTCCTTTCTCTTCTCCAAAATCATGGGCCAAAGTCTTGATCCAATGACTCAAAAACAATCCAAAGACGAACTTCTGTATCAGCTGGCTATTGCCGGAAATGTGGACGCTGTTAAAGCTCTTTGTAGTGAAGGGGCTATTCTTGAGGTAAACAAAAATAACGAACCATATACTTCTTACTACTTAATACAATACTGGCCCTTCTCTACTTTTTCCATATCATGTTGATTCTGACGCTAAAGCTACAAACTTGTTATGTTGTTAAAGCTTTACCTTCACTTGCTGCAACTCATGCAAAAAAATCTACTATTTTTTGGATGAATTATGCACAAAATTCTTGTTGCTATGGTTTTGGCTTTGTCTAGATAGAGGAAGTTGTTATCTTAGTTTGACTTTTGGGTGCAGTGTATTGACAGAGATGGAAAGACCCCTCTTATAGTGGCTTGTATGGATTCTGGATTGTATAATGTTGCCAAAGTTTTGATTGAAATGGGAGCCAATGTCAATGCTTATCGTCCAGGTAAGTTTCTGCAACCAGAAAGTTTTTTTTTTCGTGCTATTTCGTACTAGTCATATATATATTGTGTGAATTAGTCAAATCCTTACTTCACATTTGTAATTGTTAGTCATTTATGAAGCTGAAAGTTTTGTGCTTCGTAAATAAGAATGATGCAAAAGTGCATTTGTTATTGGCAGGGCGTCATGCGGGTACCCCTTTACATCATGCGGTGAAAAGAGGCCTGGAGCAGACTGTTAAGTTACTTCTCTCAAGTGGAGGTAAGTCTGAGTCATAAGTAGTAGAGAGGCACAAGTTTGTTAGCACAGTGCTGCGTGTTTGCATCCAGTTTTATGGATTCCGGTTCTTTCTTCAATATTTCAGCGAATGCTTTAGTGAGAAATGATGATTGTCAAACTGCACTTGATGTTGCTAGAATAAAGGGGAATATAAATATTGTGCGCACTATTGAGGTAAGCTTGAAAAGAATGCAGGTTTTAATTTATTAACTCGCCTCCATACATATTGAAAGATGGTTTAATTGCCTAACTTTTATTTTCACCTTTTTTTGTTTTTTTAGAGTCACATTTGCTATTTCACTGGCTGGCTGCGGGAGTTTTATGGTCCAGGATTTCTCAGAGCATTTGCTCCTCAATTTTTATCAAGCAAAATGTCTGTATGCCGAGTTACTTTGTTAATTCATTTATCTCATGCCTTTCCCTTATAATTGCTTCTCATTTGGTACACTGCTGTTTATTTTATCATATGGCGGCATTACTGGAGTTTCTTTGATGCTAATTAGATTGTCAATATGATTTCCACATCTTCTTTGAAGGCCTGTATAATGTTATTTCTGTTTTTACTTGCCAACATATCAGGTTAATTTTCTGACCAAGGCTTATCACTTGCAGCTGGGCTGCTGTTATACCACAAGGTTCCAGCAATCCCATGACACCCAAGAAGCTGGAGCTTGTGATATATCCTTCTTTCCAGGTATGGTGACCTTAACTATTGATACTGTTTGCTTATGATCTAGATGTCTATAGTAAACATCTGTTGTATTCCCATGTCTGCCTATGAGAATTATTCCTCAAAATGTTTTTAATACCAAGTTGATAATATGCCCTACCCATCTCTGTACTTCAGTCTTACTTTAAGAAGAGTTGTTTATATAGAAGTCATATTCTATGTTATTTAAGATATCCCTCGACTTCATTTTCTAATTCTTGGGCTCAGTTTTAGCAATTGTTTAGGCATTGGTCTCTTTTCTAAGGAGCCAGGTAGCTCCCTGGGGTCATTGTACCATTCTACATGTGCCTGAGATCCTAGTTTCCATTACTACATGTACCCACACCCTAAAGTTCACATGATAATTGAGGTTAATGGATTGACCCCCTCGAACCCTATTAAATGACCTATTGCGAAAGATATTAAATGAGATATTCCTCTGAAAGGATGATAGTTTTCAAAAACCTCATAATTGTGCCATGAATTTTGTTTGTTGTTGATGGATATTGGTAGTACATATGTGTGAAAAAGATATCTAGGTACTGTTTTTTTGTGGTTCTTTGGAATCATCGACCAACAATGGCATCTTTTTGTTTATGATGTCTCCTTTTGGGCATAAAATCAACCAGAATTGGTTTCCCCACCAATGTAGCAGCCACTTACATGGACTGCAATCTGGGAAGTCTAAATTCCATTCTAATGCCCTTTCTGGGAAAATGCTGAAAACACATGAAATTTGTAGCTTCACGGTTAGAGTTCTCTGTTTTATTCATATTTGCATAAGCTGTCCTTATTTTCTGAACCTTTCAATTTCACCACTGCTGAATCAACAGGATGTACAACCTCGTACAGTTATTGCTCTTTGGAATGCTGAAATTGAGGAACCTAACTTCAATAGACCATGTCCCGAGCTTACTATTTTTGACCAGTCTACTAGTAAGTCATATTCATGATTCTTGGTGGTGGCTATTAGTTTTTTATTGTTCATAGAATCTTGCCATAGATGTGCATGCCTTCAAATGTCACCTATGATATAGAAGTCTTGACAGTTTATGAATATGTGAACAGCAGATAGATATTCCATTTAATATTCATAGTTTCCTAGTGTGTTTGTAGAACATTATTTACCTCACTTGTTATTTTTCCATTGTACTAGCTTAAGTGAAGTGCTTTCTGTGGTTATTGCATTCTTCCAGAAACTCAATACAAACTTGCATCTGCCAACGAGGGTGATAAACAGCAGCTTCACTGTTTATATGATGCATGCAGCGGAATTCCTCAGGTATGTTGGTTTTAGCTTTTGCAATGTTTATTTTTGTAGCCTAAATTTGCATGTATTAAATGAACTGTGTATCTTTGGAATCTTTTGGTAAAGATGATTACAGAATTCAGAAAACAGGTGCTCTCAAGTTAGAAGTATGTATAGTCATTGAAATGTTTATGAGAATGATACTCTTATATCTTCTTGAACACTGATGTAAATTATGGAGACTTTTTCTGTATAATACAGGCACAAAATTAAGAATTTCAGTGTTTTCTAACAGAGAGTAGTAAATCAAAAGTGAAAATTGTACCAGCCCTAGATTTTACAATCCTTTGAGTCTAAAACTCAATGAAAAGTTTCAATGAAAAACAGGGATTTTCCTTTTCTACTTCAATTCAAATTTCATAATCTATAATAACATGGTTGTACTCCCTTCAAGTTATTTAAATCTTTATCAAAATTTTGGTAGTCTACCCTATAATAGGATATTTTCAAATGTCGACACATGCAATCACACACACACAACAATCCTTAATTCTTGATGTAACCATTCTGAATCATATCTCATCATCAAAACTTCATCTCAACCATAATTCTTATCATCCTTCAAGCATAAATGTTCTTTTAACACTATGGCCATGTTTGTTTTCCAAAAAGTAGTTTCCGGGAAACCATTTTCCAAACTTTCTCGTGTTTGTTTGTCATTAGAAAAGTTAGTTAACGGAAAACATTTTCCGGTCAACAGAAAACACTTTCCAGTCAAAGGAAAATTTAGCATGGTTTTCAGGAAAGTGTTTTTTCTGGAAAAGTTGGGCGGAAAACACTTTTCAGAAGTTGTGAAAAATTTTAAAATGTTATTATTTGCTGATTATATCAAATTTGATCCTTAAACTTTTTATTGTTATATATATTTTGTTTTGAATATTTATTTTTCAATTTTATCTCTTAAAATTTAATTTTTATATTAATTTTGGTCTTTATTTTTATAATTGCTATTTGCTTTTTCCTTATCATTTTTTTATTGAAATTTTTTATCTATCAAATTTGGTCCTTATTTTTTTTATTACTTATTTTATTTGAAATAATTTATGAAATGTTGATTATTATTATTTTAATTTCTTCATCTTTTATTTTTTTTATTTTTTAGATTTGATCTCTATTATTTTGATTATTATTTATTTTATTTGAGATAATTTATGAAATTATATTTTTTTCAATTTCATTGTCATTCAACTATTTAATTTGTAAGATTTGTTCCTTAATATTTTAATAAACATGAGAAAAATAAAATATTAATAAATTATTTTCCAGCTCATTTTTCATGACATAACCAAACACTGGAAACTGTTTTCCAACTTATTTTCCATTACACTACCAAACATTAGAAAGTAATTCACTTTCCCGGAATTCATTTTTTAAAAAGAAATTACTTTCTAGCAAACAAATGGGGCCTAAAGATACTTGCAAATGAAATAAGGACTTCCACACCTTAAAAATTATAATCATCAACAATTAATAAAACTTAAATTAACTTTTACATATACTAAAAGAAACATTTGGATTACATGCCACAAAAAATATATATTCTATTATTTACAATCCAAAAAACATAAGATATCACAATGTTCATAATCACTACCTAAAACTACTGAAGGAATCATAATAACGAGTTATTGCTCCTGGCATGTCTGAGATGAACCTAAAACGAGCAACTAACATTACAATGCTTTCAAATATTAACACTACATTAAGGGCATATAGCATATTATCAACATATCTTTAATCTCTTTTTACAAGTCAATCTATCAAATACCTCAACACAACAAGTAATCTATAGGATCATCATCTTTGAGGTTTGATTCAATTTCATTTTCAAACATCCTTTATGGACATCCATTCTCCAAAACAACTCGTATGAACCTTGCATTTGAACTATCAATATGCCAAAATCATTCATTTATTAATCTACTAAATCGTTATCATTCACATCATGCATGAATTCACATCAAATATTACTCTTTGTTTCTACATCCTCTACTCCAGCATTATACATCTTGAGTTCATATATCCAACTCACCTTTTCAAACAGCCATAATCCCTAAATTGAATTCCTGACTATGTAACCATCATTATAATCTTTTTTTTAATAGCAGTCCCTACACTTGTAGTAGACTTTAAAAGAGTGAACATTATTCATTGTACAAGCATTCTGTGTACACATGTCCTTAACGATGCTTATTTTATATCTTTCTTAATTATATTTCTGAGGAGATTTAACCTTCAACTTGAGGTTGAATAACTAAATCAATCCTAAACATCAACAATGATATCCATTAATTCCTAACCATTCATCCATGGAAGTCAAATATTTTCTCAATCATCCATCAAGGAAACCAATTACCCTGGCCAACTCTCATTATCGTCAATAACTTTGGCCATCCAACGTGAATGCCAATTAATCTGGCAAAACTTTACGGTTGCTAACAATCTAGCCAACCCACACGGATGCCACTTTATCTGGCGAACCCTTATAGTTGCCAATAATTCAATCATCCAACAAGTATGCCAATTAATCCTTCATTTGTGTCACTATGTTCTTATTTTTCCCTATAATATATTCACACATTTAAAGAATTTACAGTTATTAACAAACATAAAACTTGCAGAACACCTACCTAATATTTATAGATTTAACTCCCTTCTTCAGAGGTTAATCATGTTTGGCATGCCTCTCCTAGAGCACATAATGCAAACTATCTGTACACTTTCTTATTTTTCAACTTTCCATTCGTGTTTATTTACACATACACAATATATTTAAATCTCCTAGCAAAACATTCTGTATTTTTTTATCCATTTCCATATATTTTTAGGTTCCCATTTCAACATATATTCATATCCACATGTTCATGCACAACACATTTATATTAAGAAACTTTGCATTCATATTCACGCATCCATTCAAAACATGTAACACTACAATTTCCACATCCTTTATAAACATGCACATTAAGTATTAAATTTGCCATATTTCATACCAATTGGTATCCATTATCTTTCATTTTCATATGCACAAATCCAAGCATATTCTTTAGGTTTCAAGCTTTACGCATGCATTTTATACACGTTTAAGACATACTTTAATCCTATCATATTCAATATTTCAATTAAGCACATTTCCATTTATTTTTTTCCTAACCTATCCATTTCATCCACAAGGGTTTTCCCTCACTTATTGGAACATTTCTCCATCATTCCAAGATAAATTTTATTCACCCCCGTACTCCTTCAAAACCCTACATGAATCCTAATACAATTCCAATCAATAATATTAAAAATTTTCATTCCTTTCATCAAGGAATGTTTTGGCCAACAAAGGATTTCATCTCTTTAAATTTTCTTCTAATTCTTATCCACACATAATTTTCCAACATTCCCATGTTGATTCTAGCACACTCCAAGCCAAAAACATCAAATAAATTTCATTTTTATATTTATGGAAATTTCAGCTACACATGGATTCTCAACCCTTTAGATTCTTACTAGTAATTTTAAACCAAAACTCATTTAACATCCATGTATTAGAACATATCATTCACTTAACACAAACCAAATCTAATTTCCTCACTACTTGGTCGAATGCTCTGGGTGCCAGTTTCATTGATTCTTTCTTCTTTATTTAATTTTTTTCAAAAAAAAATTTCAAAGCAAATCTTATTTATGTATGTTGTACAACATTTAAACACAAGTTTTATACAAAATCATCACTTTTAATAACAACATGTCTCATCCACCACCAAAAGGTAATTCAGCCAAAAGAGGGAATTTATCCCTTGAAAATTTTCCTTTATCTATTTTATGTTCAAGTCACATAATTTCATCTTTTAATCCTCAATAACAAACTAAAACACATCATTCATGCATTCTCATTCAAAGACCAATATTCCCTCCTAGGCTGATCTTTGAGCAAAGAAATTCCCTAGGTTACCCTTAATTGTCCATATGATTTTCACTTATCCATTCATGATAATCAACTTTTTTTCATAACTAATTTAACAACAAAAACCCAATTTACCATCACATTACAACAAACCTCAACATTCATCACTTGGCCATTTCAATTCAAACTCAAATCAACCTAAAACTTCAAAAGAACAAGAAAAGAAAGTTCCTTACCTCTTGTTCACACGAAACCAATGAATTTTTTCCAGGCAATTCAAGCCTTTCTTCATAATTTCTTCATTCCACTCTCTAGAACTCAAGCTCTCTCTTTCTCTCTCATTAACCCTTACTTTTCTTCCTTTATTTCTGCTCTCCAAACCCTCCAGATGATGCTTTCTTTCCAATTACTTGATTTAATCACTCACAAACCCCTTTTTATGGAAGAATCTCTCCATTTGTGCTAAGAAAATGAAGTTCTTGAAGCCATTTTTCCCATGGCTGTAACACCAGCGGCTGCTGGTTTTTAAAAGGAGATTTTTATGGCTTTTTGATGATTTTACCCCTCAAGAAGCTTCTAGATAGTTTTCATATATTTTACCTGGTTATCGGTACTTTTTCATGCAGTCTTTCTATTGAATTTCTTCCCTGTCGTCTCGCTAACTCCTCGGGACCATTTTCTTATTTCAAATCGTATTTATTTTATATTTTTCTCATTTATTTATTTATCAAATTTATTATCATTCCATGATAACGTTATCGATTTTTAACCGAAACTTGCACTAACACTTTTCGTACAATCCATCCTTAACTTTTTTCCTCATTATGACATTAATTTCTTGGAATCATTTTCTCATTCTCAGCATACATTTATTTTAAATTTTCATCATTTTTTTCTTCGTTGAAACTCGTCACTAGTTTAGCCAAGTTTATGAATTTTGAATCGAAAATTGATAATTCTCATATGAATTCCATCACAATTTTTAAGATCACAATTTTTAAGTTTATTCATGGAGATTATCCTCTCCATTTCGCATCACATTCCATGTTATTTATATCATATATTTATTTTCCTTAATTCCAAGTTTCCATTACTCGACAAGGTCTTGCGGCTCGATGTTTACACGAGAGTTTACAAAAACTGATCTAGATACTTAAATACTTCTGTCAAATTTGATCCACTAGAAATTGCTTATTTTAGAAGGATAACAAGTAGAGTATACACATATCTAGAGCAGTGGAAGGGAGTGGATTCATGACTTGGGGACAATGGTGACCCTGTTTTAGGTTTTGAAGCAAAAGGCTTGAACTGTTTGTCAAGGAAGTGTTTTGACTTTCCATTTCAAGCTTTTAATCTTGATTTGAGTTTGGTTGGTCTAGTTTGTTTCCTAATTTTTTGAGATGTTTTAGCAAATTATGGAGAACTTGGTGCACTAAAAGAGTGGCTGTTGTGGATTGGTTTATGCAAAGTTCCTTGTAGTCTAATTTACATATTTTAAAAAATAAATGACTTTTGCTCCATTCTTGCTTCATTGTATGCAACTTGCCCCCTGCAACAAAGACACCATTGTCAACATTTATAATTTCAGGTTACGCCGCCACCAATGTATGGCAATCCTCCAACCACAGTCCCAGTGGTTGGTCATCATACTTCAGCAGAAGCTGTGGGATTGGCAACGGCAATAGGTGGATCCATTCAGTCTACCATAGAGGACAATCCACTACATCCAAATACTCATCGGAGCTCTGAAGTAACTAATGCAAACGGCTGGGAAGACCCTGTGCTTGGTGATAGCCACAACAGGTGGGGCGCATCCACACATTCAGAAGCACGCAGCAGTGGATGGATGGGTGAGGCACCAAAAGAAGACTACAATGGATGCGCTGTGCCTAATATGGGGCCAAGTGGCAGCCAAGATCATGTACAACCCCGTTATGATATTCCCCCTGTTTCTGAAACTAGTGGTGGAAATACTGCATCAGCTCCATCAGCTCCACCAATTCCCGATGAGGAATTGGATGCAGGGCCTATCCATCATCCATCATTTGATTTTAGTCTACTGGACTTGTCTGTTCCAGCCACAGAGCTTGGAGCTTCTGTAACAAGTGACGTGAACAAGGGAGGTAGTTCTTCTTCATGTATAATATGTTGGGAAGCTCCTGTTGAAGGTGCATGCATTCCTTGTGGTCACATGGCTGGTTGTATGACTTGTTTGAGGGAGATCAAAGCTAAGAAAGGTGTTTGCCCAGTTTGCCGATCCAATATAAACCAGGTTACAAGGCTTTATGCTGTCTGAAAAGTGGACCTGAGTAAGAGGGATCTGGCGTTAATTTGTAAAAATGTTTGGTTTGATGTTTACATCTCTGATGTGTGAGCTTGTTCTAGATATTAATTACATTTAGACTAAAGGTGCCACTCAAAGATGCAACAAGGCACTTATTGCTAGATGACAGTAACCCAAGTGCAGCATGGACTATGAATATCGAACTCAGCTTTGTGAGGTTTCCCTATGGATTATCTTGTGGAAATCCAATGCTATCCGTGGCATCAAGGAGACCGTCATATGTCACCTCACCTTGGAACTGAAGGGCATGGACGCTTAATCCCTACTTGAGGTCGTTTGTCTTTGCAGCAGCTACTGCGATTTTGTTCAAATTCAATAATATAGTGTTTGGTTATAAAATGAAGCTGTGGCTTGCTTCATGGGACGCACTAAAAATAAGGAAGTTCTGTTGAAGAAATTTTTTCATGTTTTTTATTCAGCGTCTTGTATTTTTACGTTTTATTATCTACTGTTCATTCTTGCAAAATGAACAGTGAACATATTCACTGTCAATACCAAGCCCTTCCTTAATTCACAGGCTGGATTTTTGGCATATTATTCTTTATTTGTTTGATTACTGAACATTCTTTGTAAAGAAATAATCGTGTTGTAAATGTTCAATGGAAAGTATACCAAATGATGGATCCATATTTTGTTTCTTCCAGTTTTCTAGCGCCATGTTTGGGTGGGGGAGGATGCAAGACAGGAAGGATGATTTGCAAGGAATTAAAGAGTTGAAATACGCAAGGAATTAAACAAGTATCCTTTGATTCCTTCCTTGAGTATATATAAATTCATCGGCAGTATTTTCCTCCAGGATATCTTGAGTTCATGGAATCCCGCTTGTGATGTGGCTAGGAAATTGTGGACCATTCCAAGAACAAAGCCATGTGTTCCCTGCTTTAACCATGGATTGTGGTAATGTTATTGCACATAATAGCGTTCATGCACCTGACCCATTGCCTTGGCAACCCCCCATTCCAACGTCAGGAACCCTACCCTTTTGTTCTTGACATCAAATGGTGAAAGGAGCACATGGCATGCTTGATCAGAATCCCATATATGCTAGTGAGCCACTTCTCAAAGCTGAAATTCACTTTACTTCTGCTTGAACACGCACGAGTACTACACTACCAGCCCACCACAGAAAGTAAAGCTTTGGACATTTTACGGTCAGCGACTTTGATTCTGTGGAAATTGAAACGGAATGGTCTCTAGACAGTATTTTTGAGCCGTAGCATTTTCTTCCAAGTCCATTAACCCTATGGGAACCATTATTCCTCGATGAACTCATCCCCTGTAAGAGGAAACACAGCGTACACGGCAAAAATCATAGTTTTGTCGGCATATAAAATATTAATACTGCTCGGATCGAGGACATCAAAGTATTGTTTAATTGATAGGATTGTTGACCCGAGTTCGCAAAATAAAAGCAGCAATTTTTTCAAGTAAGAGCACTAGGAGTTTCATTGGACGTGCTTTCAACTATTAAAAAAAAAGGGTCTTTTTTGGGTTCAACATTTCGGTTGGCCAATCTCTACTCCAGCTACATTTGGTCCTGCATAAACAGCCAGTGGTCCGATTTTTAAGAGTAGAAATGTATGGTAAAAACTTACTTCCAGTAGAGGCTGAAATGTTGTCTCGATGTTAACTCAGAAAAATGCATGCTTCTCTTGTAATAAACTAAAGAAGGTGTTTTGCTTACAAGCACAATAGAGCCAAGCAAGCCCTTCATCCAATCTCAATTTCTCAGCTATGACCTCTCATTCACCACTGGAACAAGGGTTTCTACCGCAAGGAGGAGTTATGAGTTCAAATTGCAGAAAAATAGAGTGCCCAGGTTGAATTGGAAGAGAGGAAGTACGGTTAGAGTAGCCTGGCCCGAGGAATGGCGGGCACGTCTCGTAAGCCCTGGATCACTCCTGCCTAAGCACTTTTGGAGGTTTCCTTTTCTTATTATTTTTATGCACACTTTTGGAGGTGTGGTGAGGTGCAGTTAAGTTTTTATAGTGTGAATTATAATAAAAAAAACATATATATTTTACTTTTATCATGGTTTGTTTTCTGCTTTAAGAAAATGTTTGTTTCTGAGTAGCTCAACTTGTGGGTGAGGTGGGTTGCGCGACATAATTCATGAAGAAGCATATAATATGTATTTTTTTCATAGTTGCGCTGCCTCTTAATCAAACACATCTTAAAAGAACTGTATCTCCAGAGAAAATTCACCACACTTCTATCACAAACACACAGTATAATAACATTGGAGGTCTATTTTCTCAAGAAAGTGTTCTCACAGTAGTAATTTGACATGCTTTATTGTAAATTTAATAGAAAGGGAAATATGGCTCTGGTTTGATGTGGAAAGTCATGATGCTTCTCCTCCTGTAGCCACTTCACTGTATGGCGAGAGGAATTAAAGTTGGTCCATATCCGAGACAGATTATAGCTGGCAATTGCTTGTTAAAACACTTCAGGAGACAAAAAGTACGGTTAGGTTGTCATTAAGACAAAATAAAGTTGTCTTGCTGGAATGCAAACACCGTCAAGATGTAATGGAGCAGGACTGTTGCTCGAGTCTCCCTGTATACCTGGTTTTGCTGATATCATGCTGTCACGACAATCATTCAGTATTTCATTACAGCAAGAACTAAAAATCCCAAGTGTTTTGGTATTTCTTATTCGTAAGAAATCATCAGGTAGCATCTTATTAGTGTCGCGTTGCATAAAAGATAATTATAAAAGAAATAAATATGTCTGATCGAAGGAAGTAAGATGCATACATGACAATGAATTTGTATTTAAACAAAGGCTAGATGGTCTCCCAAGAGGAGAAGATATTCTTGATTCAAATCCTATTATTTACATTTCTTGATTCATGTATAAGAATGTGATCGATTGGAGATCTTGAGTTCATAGGTTCTTGCCTGTAAGTGAGTTCATAGATCGCGTAAAGTTATATATATATATATATATAATGAATTTATTTTAAAATGAATTTTTATTAATTTAAAAAAGAAAGGACATAAAAATATGTTATCTTCATCCCACCTATCCTTTTCTTTTATGTTTCACAACAGTAATAAATTATTGTTTTTGTTTAAAACTATTATACATGGAGAATCTCTTAAAATATTTTGAGAATCTCTGGTTAGAGTACAACAATGTCGAATCGAACCACCAGAGTTGTCTTTATGTTCTGTATTTATCTGAGTGACAACAAACAAAAATGTTATGGATTTTCAGATGACTTGACTGCCTCTTGATAGGTCTTTTTTTATATAAAAAAAAAGTTCATCAAACCAGATAGTTAGTTTACAAACTAGATATGCTTATTGCAATATATGTCACGGGTCCATTTATTTTATTTTTTAAAATATAAAAAAAATATACAGACAATATAAATATTTTTTTATTTAAAATAAAACTTCAATCATCGACTTTAACTTGATTGAGTTTAATAAATTTACGTAAACAAAAATATATATAGGTAAATAAAGTAAAAATATGATAATAAAAACAAACAAAAAAAACCCCGATTCATGTTCATTCGGATTAACATGCTAAATATGTAATTTGATTGCGATACCAAGGTAATTTCTTTA